TACTTAAGCAGTCAATGCCCAAAGGCAGCATACAAGGGCAACATCCAAGTTGGGCCTTCATGACACACAAGTACCAGGGAAACAATGTACGCAAGAAAAGCTGATCATCACCTGCTGAGTCACTCACTATCAACATTCTCAACGTTACTATTGATCAGAAACTGAACTAGCTATATAAATACCGTGGCTAGGAGTCCTGTGGTACAGAGGTAGTAACCCGACCTCAGAGCCAGGAGGGCTAGTTCAAGTCACACTTGCCCAGATTGATTACAAATATCATAAATACTGTGGCTAAAAAGTTCAGTTAGGACATCTGCAGTGAGAAACATATCGCCAGCTCCCAAAAGCCTACCCACCATACACGGCACAAGTCAGAACTGCCATGGAAAACTCTCCACTTGCTTGGATGAGCATAGCTCCAACAACACTCAAGAAGCTTGACACCATCCAGTTCAAAGCAACCTGCTCAAAGGACACCACATCCCCAAACTCCCCCACCATCGACACTAAGTACCAGCAGCATGCACCAGCTACAAGCTGCACTGCAGAAATTCAAGACTCCTTCAAAACTTCCAAACACACAATCATCTAAAAAGGACAAGAGCGACAGATACATGGGAACACTACCATCTGCAAATTCCCCTCCAAGCTACTCATCATCCTGACTCAGAAATAAATGGTCATTCCTTCAGGGCCATTAGGTCAAAATTGTGGGTCTAACTGGAAATCAGGAAGGCAGCTGGCAACCACCTTCTCATGGGTCACCAGGAATGGTAATAAGTGCTGACCCAGCCAATGACATCCACATCTCACAAAATGTATCAAAAAATTGGAAGAAATTTGTAACACTTTTCCATAAATAGTAACTAATTAACAGGGAAGATGCTGGTACATGGTTAGGCCACTAATCAATCACTATCCCACTGAATGGCAGAACAAGTTAAAATGGCAGACTCCTGTTTTATGTTCCTACTAACTCAGAAGAACTCATTCAATCCTGAACCCATCCTGAAATAAATAATCTCTGGTCTAAGTCAGAAGGAAAACAAAAACCAGCAGCCAGGTTTCCTGCTCACAATCACTATCCAGTAATTAACTCCTCACTGCAAAGTGCATGCGCCCAGATATCTAGAGAGTAGGAAATTGTA